GTGAGTGCCCCAAGCAGCTCTCTGAGACTTTAAGTTATGATCAGCATTGGCAGAGGGACTTTCTCCATTAGGAGTTTTGTACACCAATGAAACCACTGGCCTGCCCTATAAAATGCCTTTAATTTACCATAATTTCATTTGCCTTTTTAGAATTTAGAGTGGCTTTGGTGGGGGTGATTTAGATGGTTCATATTTCTTTAAAAAAAAAATTGTCCAGGGAAGGCTGATCATGCCTTGTTTTTCTTTTGATAACAGTTTCCCTTTAGTAAGCAGAGAGTTTCAAGATCATTGCTTTTTTGTGTTCAAAGTAGGGCTTATTCTTTTCAGAATTCCCCATCAGCACTTAAAAGCTTCCTGGAACATTTTACTTGGAAGGGCATGGGGAGAAGGAGTCTCTAGATTCTGGTCTTGCCCACTTTTGATTCTGCTGTTCCTGGTCTCCCCCACCCTCTCTTTAAAACAAAATGCTGAGGCAACCTTGAAAAGGAAGAGAAATAACAAAAATCACTTTTTTGAATTGCATTTGCTTCCCCCTTTTTCTCTCTCTCAACAGCAGGAGAATGTGTGTTGGGAATAATGTGAGGGATAGATTAATAAAAGAAAAAAGAAAAGAAAATGGAGAGTTTTGGTTGGAGAGAAGAATTAAGAGGTAGTATTATAATCATGCCCCAGAAATAAAGGAAAAGAGCATCAAGGAAATATTTAAACATATACAGAAGGGAACAGAAGGAAATGCATAATGGGCCATGGACGTGCAGAGGAGTTCTGTTATAATTTCATATATAAATCTTCTTCTCTGTTTTTTTTATTTGTATTTTGAAGCATTCATGTTTGTTGATATTTAAGCTTATAATAAAAAGATATTTTTACAAGTAGCAGGATGCTAATATTTCTGGTTAATTTAGGGTCTCAGATTGGGTTCTTGAAATATAAAAATCATGTGCCAAAAAAATTAGAAGTAGATTGTATGCATTTCACAGCTATGCATAGGAGACGAATTCCTACACTAACAGAGATGAAGGAAATTACAAATAATAAAATAGATTATTTTGATTACATGAAACTGAAATGCTTTTGCACAAACACAATTAATGCATCTAGGATAAGAAGGGAAGCAGTTTAAGGCAGCGGGAAATAATTTTATCAAATTTCTCAGGTAAGGGTATGTTATGCAAGATATATAGACAACAGAAATATATAAAACCAAAACTCATTCCTCAGTAGATAAGTGGTCAAAGGATATGAGCAAATAATTTTCAAAAGAAGAATAAGATAAAGATAATGATATGGAAATATTAACAAGAAAAGTAATTAATAATGCTACTAATAAGAAAAATGCAAATCCAAACAATCTGGAGGTTTTACCTCATGCTAGTAAATGGGCAAAGAAGACAAAAGACAAGAGTCATTTTTGGAGGGGTTTGAAAAGACAGGCATGTTATTCCTGTTGCTGGAGCTGTGAACCAATTCAACCACTTTGGAATGCAATCTGGAATTATGCAAATAAAATGGCTAAAATTTCTAGGCTCTTTGACTCAAAGATTCTATAGGTAGATATATATCCCAAGGAGGTAAAAGCCCCATATACACCAAATTTTATATAGCAGTACTTTTTGTAGGAGCAAAGACATGGAAACAAAAATACCTGTTGATTGGGAATGGCTAAACATATTATGGTGCATGAATGTAATGAGGTATTACTGTGCTATAAGAAATAACAAACATGATGGATTCTTAGACACATGGAAAGACTTATAAGAACTGATAGAAAATGAAGTAAACAGAGGCAAAGAAAAAACCCTCTATACACAGTGAGTATGGTAGAAAGAAAAACAACCACAAAATACTGAAAATGAATGTTGTAAAATTACAAAAAATAAATTTGGCCCCCAAGAAGAGATATGAGAAGATAACCCCTCCTACTTCTTTGCAGAGGTAGGATAGGGAGAAGGAGACATTCCACAGGTGTGGAACATTGCATATATTGTAAGATTTTTTTGGTATATTGATTGTTTCTTTTGTGAGATAACTGTCTGAGAGGGGGAAGAGGAGAGATACAGAGGGAAATTTACATGACATAAAACAAAAGCTATTAATAAAAATTAATTTTTAAAAATCCAGTTAATGTAAATATATCTGTTAAATTGAGGGTTTTAAATTAGGTTCTGGATAATTAAGGTTTTATTCTGGTTGTGATACCTGAAGGATCTGTGATTTTGTCAACCATGGGGAGTTCCATGTATGGAAACTCCTTCCGCCAAGCCAGATCCAACCTATAAATGACATTAGTGGTAAATGGGTTTGAAAGTTATCATTTATTGTTTGTTCATTGTTTGTCCTTCATTCTGGAAGAGGACAGTGATATCAGGAGATAATGTTGTGACTTGCAAGTGAATTGGATTTAAGTGAGGGAGGGCTATGTAAAGTCACCAGCCTCACTCTCTCCTCCAGAGCAATCTAGGTCCAGTGGTAAGATACAGGTGAGGATGAATGGAGATGGCCCCGGATACAGTGGGAGACTGTGACCTTTTAAGCTAAAGTCTTCTCCAGGTTTCAGTTTGACCCAGGCAAAGCCCATTCAGTGATTAAGGCTAGGTAAGAAATGAAGCAAAGAATGGCCTCATTTACCTAGTCAAAAAAACAAAATCAGTCTGGGAGGGTAGACCTTCAGGGTTTCTATCCAAAATAGAAACAATTGCTATTTACATTCCCTCTGAGCCATCATAGCCCAAACAATGACCAAGTGAAATTTGGGCTGAGACCTAATTGGCCGATCAATGAGAGCCAGAATGATTTGGATTTAGGGTATGGTCCTTAAAAAAGAAATCTAGCACAGGACTATATCTTGAGAGTTTTCAGAGATCAAAATTCATATTCCTTTGGGCAGAGCACCTGCAGGTAAAGATATGATTCCCTGCGGACAGAGAGAGAGGAAGGAGGGAAGGAAGGAAGGAAGGAAGGAAGGAAGGAGAGGCAGGGAGGGAGGGAGCTGCATTGTTCAACTGGAATTGGCCAGTTGGGTCCCCAGTGGGACAGCTACTACTACTCACAGATCACTGTGTGTTCTTCATTCTGGAAGAGGACATGACATCAGGAAGGTGATGTCATAACTTGCAAGTGAATTGGATTTAAGTGAGGGAGGACTATGCAAAGTCACCAACCTTACTCTCTCCTCTGGAGCCATCTGGGTCCAGTAGCAAGATATAGATCAGCAGAAAGTCACCTGAGCAACACAGGCACTAAGTGTCTCCTCCAGGGTCACACAGTGCAGTGTGTGTGAGTGTGTTTATTGTGAATGTTCACTGAAGAAGAGAGTGGTTGAAAGAGATTTGTATGGCTTGCCTGTGAATTTCTTATTGCTCTAAATCTTATTCACATGTATTTAACTCTGTACTCCCAATTAGACTATCATCTTCACCTCTTACCTTTGTAAGAAACAGGGCATGACAGTTTACAAAACTCACATACATAATTTCATTTGATCCTTACACCTGTACGAGGGAGGCAGGACAGGTATGCCACAGTATGGTGGAATGAAGGATCAGAGAAAGTAAGTTAGAATACTGAGTCTGTGATATTTACAAGCAGTTCTCATTTTATGTAAGTGGACAGGTCAGCAGACCTCTATGTACAGCAATTTTTTTTTAGTAATGTGAATTTGCCCACTGGCCAACACACATTCAAAAATACATGGGGGCCTAGGGACTGAAAAGCAAGAGCAGGAGGAGGAACACAGGGCATTTTGTATTTATATTTAATTGTGTGACCTTGGAAGAGTGACTTGGATATCCTGGACCCCAGTTCCCTCATCTGTAAAATGAGATTCAGCAAGATAATCTCTCAGGTGATTTCAGCTTCAAATCCTATGATCCCCTTTGACCAAACCTTCCCCTCTGAGGTTACCTTCTGTCTGCTCTGTTTGTATCTTGTATTTAACTAGTTATTTACATATTGTCTCTTCCATTGGAATATAAGCTTCTTGAAGGCAGAAACTTTTTTTTAACCTTTTAACCCCAGTGCTTAGCACTGTTGACTGGTCCTCTTTAAGAATGAAGGACAAACAGCAATAATTAGTAAGCTTAGCAAAAGCTTATTGACTAAGAGATGAAAAACCAAATGCAATGAACTAACTCTTTTGGGAACCTTGTGGAACAAGGTTCTACAGCTAGTAAACAGTATAAACCAGACTAATCAGAGCCTGGAATCAGTTCTTCTCTTTCCTCTGTAACACTTAACTGCAATCTGTCCTTCCACCTCTGCATATACATAACCTATCACTCCCCACATTGTCTTCCTTCAAACAGAATTCTGGGTAGAATTTTGCACACATTGGGTTCTTGGCCAGTGGTATTAGGCTGGCTTCATAAAAGAGGAAAATGTTTTTGAAAAACCAAATGCAGGCTCTGTTGGGTTTTGTTGCAAAGGCAGAGGGAAATAGGACTGGGGGTGATACTGATGGGATCGTAGATCTAGAGCTGAAAGGAACCATAGAAACTATCTATCTCACTTTTACAGATGAAGAAACTGAGACTCAGAGTAACTTACGACAACTGACTTGCCCAAGGTGACACGAGGCATAAACTTCAGAGGGAAGATTTGAACCCAGTTTTTCTGATTCCAGAGGAGTTGCATCAACAGCAGTAGCTACCGTTGCTTCTAGTCAGGGCATTGCTTTTGTCTTTCCAGGAGTGAGTGGCAGGTCAGACCACTGCTCACTCACCACTGAATGATAATGGGTCCTTGTTTCCCTCAAAATAGGTAGCTAGGAGGCACAGTGGATAGAGCAGTGGCCTGGAATCAGGAAGACCCGAGCTCAAATCCAGCTTCAGACACTTGCTAGCCGTGGGCCTGGCTCTGAGACTTTAACTCTGTCTGCCTCAGTTATCCCAACTGTAAAATGGTAATAATAATAGCAGGATCAAATGTGATTTTTTGTAAAGTGCTTAGAACATAGCAGCTTAATAAGTGTTTATTTCCTTCCTTCATCAATCCCTCTCCAGGTACGAATATGGGAGATCCCTGAGGGGGGCTTGAAGCGGAACATGACAGAAGCAATCCTAGAACTTTATGGACACAGCCGGAGGGTGGGGCTTGTGGAGTGGCATCCAACCACCAACAACATCCTGTTCAGCGCTGGCTATGACTACAAGGTGAGCATGGCCCCTACTGGGGCAGGCCTTCTCAGAATTGAGAGGACTGGGGGGAAATCTCTTATTATATCTGTATAGTAATTAAACCTTTAAAAGTCTGTCATATACATTTTATCAGGTAATTCTCATAACTCTCTTGTGAAGTAGACAGGACAGCTGTTATTTCATCCCCATTTTCTAGCTGAGGAAACTGAGTCCCAGAGAGGTGTAATAACTTTCAAAAGTCTCACACTTAGCTAATGATAGAATCAGGATTGGGATCTAGGTCTGCTGCCTTAGATGCCCATGAGGAGTTAGATTTTCCTCATTGGAACCAAATCTAATGGAGTACTTGGGGGAAGTGGAAACCCAGTGTGTGCCCAAGCTAGGTTTTGCTAGTTTGTTTTTTTCCCAGCCCTGGCACCACCTCTTTTCCTGTTAAAAGAGCAGGAAGAACTCTTTGGTTAAGCAGGCCTGAATGGACAATATGGTACCTGTGAGCCAATCATCAGCTGTTCCATTCTGAAGCCTGCTAAAGTCAGTCAGTCAATAAGCATTTTTTACGATGTGCCAGGCACTGTGCTAAGCACTTGGGGATACCAAAAAAAAAAAAAGCAAAAAGAGGCTCCCTGCTTTCAAGAAGCTCACAGTCTAATGGGGAAGACGACAAATAGGTACAGACAAACTATATACAGGATAAATAGGGGGGAAAATCAAAGAGGGAAGGCACTTGAATTAAAGGCAATTGAGAAAGCCTTCCTGGAGACGGTGAGATTTTAGTTGGGACTTTGGAAGTGAGAAGAGGGAGAGCATTCCAGGCCTGGGAGGCAGCCAGAGAAAATACTAGGAGCCCAGAGATGCAGTGTCTTGTTTGTGGAATAGCCAGGAGGATAGTATCACTGGATCAAAACGTACATGTTGGAGAGTAAGGTGTAAGAAGACTGGAAAGATAGGAGGGGGCTAGGTCATGAAGGGCTTTGAATGTCAAACAGAGCATTTTGTATTTGATCCTGGAGGCAACAGGAAGCCACTGGAGTTTATTGATTATGGGGCCTACAGCCCTTGAGGATGGAGGGGAGGGAAGAAATTAGCTCTCTTTGTGGTGGCAAAGAACTAGAAATTTCAAGTATGCCTATCAATTGGGGAATGGCTGAACAAGTTGTGATATATGATTGTGATGGAATACTACTGTGCTATAAGAAAATGATTAACTTGGTGATCTTAGAAAAACATGGATAGATTTGCATGAAATAATGAAGAGCGAAATGAGCAGAACCAAGAGATTGTTGTATACAGTAATAGTGATATTCTTTTAAGAACAACTTAGAGCAACTAAGTCATTTTGACTATTGTAAATACCCAAATTAACTACAGAGGACCTATGAAGGAAGATGTTATCTGAATCCAGATAAAGAATTGATAAATAGAAGTATATATAGAATGATTTTGCATATATATATATATATGTATATATATATATATATGTATGTATTTATATATACAGATACAAACATATTTATGTCTAATTGTATCCATCTCTAGGTTGGGGATGGGCAGAGAAGAAAAAAAGGGAAAAAGAAGAAAGTTACACAATAACTTTATTATATATTTAAAAGAATTAGCAAGTTGTACATAACAGATTTGCAGTTTCATGTAGTTATAACAGAGTATAGTATAGTATACTATGTAGTTATAACATAGCATAGTATAACATAACGGTATAACATACTGTTCTAGTATGTTATAGAAATGTTTGTTTTATTTCTTAAGTTCAAAATAAAATAAATACAATTTTTAAAAGAGAGATTAAAAAGGATAGCTTAGCTAACACATTGGATGATAATGTGGTCCCAAAAATATCTAGATCACAGTCTAAAATAATAGACTGAATCTAATAAGGTAAAATTTGTAATATGGATAAATGGAAAGCTGTATATGAGTTTAAAAAATATTGATTTCACAAGTACAAGATAAGGGAGGCATGGTTAGAAAGCAGTTATTCTGAAAAAGATCTGGGTTGACCTCCCAGGTCCCTTAGCATTCTAAGGTACTTCCATTCAGTACCCAAATGTATGCAGCCTAGCCATGCAGTTCTGTCCCAGGTTCTGTATCTCAGGCTGTTTACTTGACCAAAGTAGAGCTGTTATCTAGGGCAAGGGTTCTTAACCTATTTTTGTGTCATGGACCCCTTTGGTAATGAATCCTATGAATAATGTTTTTAAAGGCATGAAATAAAATACAAAGTGGCAAAGTGGCACAGTAGGTAGAGTGCAGGGCCTGGAGTCAGGAGGACCTCAGTTCAAATCTAGCCTTAGACACTTACTAGCTGTGTGACCCTGAGCTAAGTGTTAAGTGACTTTGCTCAGGATCACACAGCTGGTAAGTCATTTAACATTTGTTTGCTTTAGTTTCCTCAACTGTAAAATGGGCATAATAATCGTACCTTCCTCCCCAGGTAGTTGTGAGGATCAAAGGAGATGACATTTGTGAAGTGCTTAGCATGATGCCTGGCACATAATAGGCTCTTAATGAATGCTTATTTGGGCAGCTAGGTGGTGCAGTGGATAGAGTGCCAGGCCTGGAGTCAGGAAGACATCTTCCTGGGTTCAAATCTGGCCTCAGACACTTATTAGCTGTGTGACCCTGGGCAAGTCACTTTTTGCCTCAGTCTCCTCATCTGTCAAATGAGCTGGAGAAGGAAATGGCAAACCACTCCTCTGTCTTTGCCAAGAAAATCCCAAAATGGGTTCACATAGAGTCAGACATGACTGAAACGACTGAACAACAACAAAATAAATGTTTGATTCCTTCCTTCCTTCCTTCCTTCCTTCCTTCCTTCCTTCCTTCCTTCCTTCCTTCCTTCCTTCCTTCCTTCCTTCCTTCCTTCCTTCCTCCCTCCCTCCCTCCCTCCCTTCCTCCTCCCTCCCTTCCTTCTCCCACCTTACCTATAAAAGAAGTCAATTATATTGAAATAAAGATGTAAGTTTTTTCCCATCCACCTTCATGGACCCCTCTGACATCTATCCATGAATTCAGGAGGACTGTGGACCCCTGATTAAGAACTTGTGATCTAGTTATATAATAGAAAGAGCAGTAGTGTAAGAATTAGGAGATCTGGTTTCTACTCCTATTTTCATCACTAACTTGTTTTATGATCTTAATTATAGGCTATTAACCTGTCTAGGTCTCAGTTTCCCCATCTGCAGAATGTAGATAATAATACCTTCCCTGCCTATCTTACAAGAAGGCTTGAGAATTAAATTAAATAATGGATGTGAAGGGACTTTGGAAAATATAAAAAGCAATAGATGTTATTTATATATACATTTGTGTGTGTGTGTGTGTATTATTACACATGTCACAAGGTGCCCATTATTATTATTAATTATTATTATTATTGTTATTATTACAACGATTATTGCTGTTTGGTTCCTCAAAATCAGCAGAATCAGGGGCCTACCCCCAATGTCTGTCTGTCTGTCTTACCTGTCATTCCCTGCAGGTTCTCATCTGGAACCTGGATATCGGGGAGCCAGTAAAAATGATTGACTGCCACACAGATGTGATCCTCTGCATGTCCTTCAATACAGATGGCAGCCTGCTCTCCACCACTTGCAAGGACAAGAAGCTGAGGGTGATCGAGCCCCGTTCTGGCCGAGTACTCCAGGTACTGAGCTCTGCCCCACTCGAAATGATCTTTGTGACTTCTGGATGGTGTGGGAAGGGGATGAGGGAGAGGAAGTTGAATTCTGACTGGTCTTTCCCTACTCTCCTTCCCCCTACCCTTCCATTGACTTAACACTCTTGTCCTCAAGCTGGCTGGGGGAAATTTAACTGATGGGATCTCCTCCAAGTCATTCTGGGTTGGCGTATGTCTAACTGGTCAGTAGGCACCAGTATGCCTCTAGTTCAGTCTGTAGATCAATATAGCATAGATTTTTCACACACACACACACACACACACACACACACACACACACACACACACACACACACGCACACACACACACACACACCCTAAACAGAATTCCTCTGGCCTAATTCTTGGGGCTTAGTACAGACACTGCCTTCAGAGGCTAGCTTCCTTCCTCACAGGCTGCAGTATTTTTGGCAGACTTTATCCACTCAATCAGGGAATATTTGTGTAGAACCTACTAACTGGTTAGGCTTGACACAAGAACCTTCTCATGTTCTATAGGCAGTATCTGGAGTGGCCAGGGTCATCCCCAAGGATGTGGGCTTGGGCAGATGCTCCTTAGCCTCCTCCCACCACCTCTAAAAACAAAAGAGGGAGAGGTATATATGTTTAATCCCTAAGTCCTAATGCATTACTCTAGCATGACATTGAGATGATCTTGTGTTCTCAGAGGCTATGCCAGAGGAATACAAACTCCTGGCCAGTGCTGCCATTTTGGAAAGGCCCTCAACTGGCCAATTGTGTTGTTCTTATAGCTCATCACTGGGCTGGTCCTAGGGTGACGGATACTTTAACCAAAACAACTTTGTCTACCAATCAACCAGCAATTATTTAGTATCTGCCATGTGCCAGGTCAGCCTTAGAAGGGTTGTATTTTTCCTTGGTGGAGGGCACAACCACGATGATCTTAGAAATATTTAAGTATCAATAAGATAAAACAAACATCACAAGGGGAAAAATAGTCAGGGGAGGGCTTTCTGAGGCTCAGTTTCCTCATCTGTAAAATGAGGGGTACAGTGGAAAGAACCCAGATTGGAGTAAGAGAACCTGGGATGGAAGCTTAGCTTTGGCACTAACTTCCTGTGTGACCCTGGGCAAGTCATTTAATTCCTCTAGGCCTCAGTTTCCTCATCTGTGAAATGGGTTTGATTAGACAGCCTCTGAGGTCCCTTCCAGCTCTAAAGTTACTGTCCTATGATCTTAGGAAACAGGGAGCTCCAAAGAGGAGTAGAGATGGGATGGCAAAGGGAGGATCTATCCTACCCACTTTGCATGGTCACTTGGTTGGAGGAGAGTACTATGGGCTAATTGCATGATGACACTACCTCCTCCTTCACCCACCCACCCGCTCCCCTGTCTTCCTAAGTCACTCTAAAGCCACTAGCACGGTAGGGGTGGGAGGTTCCATGACTCTTAGTGGGTAACTCAGCCTTAGGCTTTCTCTTTATCTCCCTGCTCCTCCCCTCCCCTTCAGGAAGCCAGCTGTAAGAATCACAGAGTAAACCGGGTGGTATTCCTTGGCAACATGAAGCGGCTCCTCACAACAGGAGTTTCCAGGTGGAACACCAGGCAAATTGCCCTCTGGGACCAGGTCAGTGGGTACCCTTTGGGCTTTCGGGTTCTTCCTCCTATTTCTTTACCTTGTCTGGACAGAGGAAAGGAAGAATGGAGTACATGTCTCAGAATCGGAACTTCTGGGTTCTGGATGCTTTTGAGCTTCTGACGAAGTGTTGGACAGTCTGGAATGAACTGGGCCTCAGTTATCACTTCTGTGAAATGGGTACCACATGGTGCAAGAAATCCAAGGAAGATTGAGGAAGATGGCTATGACAGAATAAGATGTTGGGCTAATATTTATAATGCAAATAGAGAGGAATGATCAGATCTCAAAGGATCAATAATCCAATGCTGGCTGAATAATTCAATTCTCAAATTATGTACAGTAGCCCAATGAGGAAAGAGGTGTGGATAATATGAAATGGTAAATAATAAAAAAAAAAAGTGGCTTCATTTTATAATGCAATTATAGACCCACATTCAGACTTTCTTACTGGTGACCTCTTTACCTGGCCCAAACTGGGGTCTAATTGTACAGTGGAGACAGGAGACTGAATAATCCAAGGTGATAGGATGTGGCTAGTCCAGAAACTCCCTTGGGGATAGCAAATAGAAATGAGCACATCTCTGTTTGATCCAGAGCTTCCATGCTTGGTCCAAAACATAGTCCTCTTATCTCTTCACAAAAACAAGAATCCCTCTTCAAGGTTTAAAGTCATGTAGCTATATCTCTAACTTGTTCTGCTGGTTGACCTCATGAAGGCTTGAAGGATCTGGGGAAACTGGCATCCCTTGTCCCTCATTTCCTGGAGGATCAGTAGGGATCAACCAGTCTATGCCTTGGTTTCAAGTTTGACAGCTTGCCCAGAATGGACCCAGGATGGATAAGAGATGAATAAGATGGATAAGAGATAATGTGGTGTAGAGGAAAGAAAGGGTGGGATTTAGTAGATCAAAATCTGCCACTCACTCACGTTGTGACCTTCAGCAGGACAGTTCACCTCTCTGGGCCTCAGTTTCCTCATCTGTCAAATGAGGAAGTTGGACAAAGATCGCTATAGTATCTTTCAATACTAAATTCTTTGATTCAGTCATACAGGAAGGGAAGGGATAGGGAACAAAAAAGGAGGAAAAGGAAATGGAAGAAGAGGTAGGAGAAATAAGGAACAGGATAAGACAGGCAGGAAAATTTACCATATTTAGGCGCAAGGAATTGTTGGAGATGATTTGCAATGCAGTGCTGGCCCATTTACCAAGCATCTACAAGAAATCAACCAGTAGACCTAGGGAAAATCAGACTGGAAAGAACCTCGAGTGATATCCTGGTATAATCTGCTTTCAGACAGGTAAAGTCCTATTTCTATTTTACAGCAAAAAGCTCATCAACATGTTGACCATGGGTGATGAACTTGGAGGCTACAGCTCCTCTCAAAGACCATCTACTGGGTCATAGATGGGTTTAGATTTTTATTGGAAGGAGTGTACATACCAATGAAATCAGAGATCCTCAAAGTATTATTGTAAGCACAGAAAAGGCAGCTGAGGCTCTGAGTGGCTAAATTACTTCCCCAGGGTCATAGAGCTCATTAATGATTTCATAGAGTACAATAGAATATTTGAGAGCAGAGGGACCTTACAGGTCATCTAGCCCACGCCCCTCATTAGAAGGACAGAGGACCAGACCCCAGGTCTTCTTTCTCTCACTATACTGCCATATTTTTCATGCTCTTGAAAACACCCTGCATATTTCTGTCTGCTCACATGTAGCACGGACACCCACAAACACCCTCTTATCATTGGGTCCTGGAGGCAAGTGGGGCAGGCTCCGAGTGTGCTATGGATTTCTCAGAGACCTGCTGAGATCTAGGAAGCAGGAGAACAGGCTGAGGACAGGGTGGTTTAGGGTAACTCAGAGGAACACAATGGAATCTAGTATAGTGGAAAGAGGGCCAGTGCAGGTGCCAAGAGACCTGAATTCTAGGGCTTGCTATGCCATTAACTGGAATATTGAAGCATTTTAAGGTGTACAAAGTGCTGTACATACATTTTCTCATTTGAGCCTCATGATAACTCTGGAATAATTTTGTCCACATTTTATAGATGAGGGTTGGTAAGTATAAGTTAGACAGCTAGCAAGTGTCCACAGGAGTATTTGAGGCTAGCTCTCTCTTGATTGCAAGCTCAGCACTTCTTCTTTAAACACTGCTCACTAATTAGCTGTGTGACCTTGGGCAATTCACCCAAAGTCATATGGGCTTCAATTGCCCCATAAGCCAAATGAGGGAGTTGGATTAGATGATGGCATTCTATGATGCGAGCAAGGTAAGAGAGTCAATTCAAGTGTAGATTTGTATAGGACAGTTTGCTCTCTGTCCCCTAGCACAGGAAAGATGGGCAGCAGCATTGGATTCGATAGCATTTCCAGTTTGCCATATCCTCTATGAAGCCTTTCTTCTCTGATTGACCTATAGTTAATGACCTTCCTCCTTGGACCTCCCATAGCATTTTGTTTTGAACCTTTCTAATGGACTTTTTATATAATATTGTGCATTAATTACCTCTGTTTGTCTCTTTCCTCCCTCCTGAACTGTAACCTCTCTGAAGGCAGGGGATATGCCTTATCTAAACTCTGTATTTTCCTTAATGCTTAACTTGATATGATATATTGATATGATGTTGCATGCAGAAATGTTTGCCAGATAGATGGATGGATGGGTGGATAGATAGGTGGATTAATGGACGAGTGCATAGATATCTAGGGCACCAGCTAATGCAGCCTCCTTTTATACAGGAGGACCTAGCCATGCCTCTCATCGAAGAAGAAATTGATGGTCTTTCTGGACTCCTGTTTCCCTTCTATGATGCTGACACACACATGCTATATTTGGCAGGAAAGGTAATATCTGTTGAGAGCCACAATAGGTGAGGTATACTTAATCTTCTGAGGGGACTGAAAGCCACATTGCCTGCTTCTAAGCAGGTACTTCCTCATGAGTGCAGGCCCTCCCCCACACTGAATTTTGTCTTCAGTATTTTACCCATCTCCTTTTAAAGTGTTGAACCCTAACTTCTCCCACCCCACCTTTTTTTTTGGTAAACTCATTCATATTAAGTTATTCCTCAGGGGAGAGGAGATTTATTTGAAAGAAGACCTGCCTGAGAGGGCAATGCTTAACCCAAAGGAGTCTTCTAGAAGGAGCAGAATTCATACGTCAGAGAAAGAGTTAGGAAGTATTTTTAGTCTAGGTAGCTCCTCAGTCACCACCTCAGTAGCATCCTCAACTGGACAGGGCAATAGTTACCCCAAAGGAAGTACCATTTCAAGAAGTAGGATTTCAGGCACTGTGATAAACTAGTAAACAGGAGAGACTTAGGAACAAAGGGGCCTTCCCAGGGCTTTCAAGCCACACCTCTCAGGTGAACTCCATTATGCCTATGTATAAAATCTCCAGATGTTTCTGTCTAAGCTGCAGCCCCCAACCTGAGTTCTAGATGCTGAAAAAGGGAGAATATTTGCTTTTTCCCAGCACCAGGGCTGTTTCCCTACACCTTGAAGTGTCCTGTGCTCACTCAGAGTTATAAATAGATCAATTCACCTGGATTCTTCTCTTCCTGCAAAGGACTAGAACCAGGGGTGGGCTGGTACCAGCTCAAACCAGTTCAAAAAAGCTGATTGTTAAATTTTAAGTGTGAGCGTTTATAATCCAGAGGTTCCCAAAATGGGCGATACTGCCTCTTGGACGGCATTGGAATGATCCAGAGGGTAGTGGTAGCTTCAGGTGCAATGGGGAATGGAGTGTTAAATAAAAATAAGGATGTAAGCATAAGAAAAGAAGAGAAGAAAATTTTGAAAAAAGTTCATACATGTTTCATCTGTTGTGTGAGAAAGTTAAAGTCATAGTGATTACATTATTTTCTAAACAAAGACACAAAATGCAAGTTATAACTGATCAGTGGTCTGCTGACAGGTCTTAACAAGCAAGTGTTGGCAGACCAGGATGTAACACATTGTCAGGAAGTCCAGCATGCATTAGCAGGAATATGTGTGTGTAATGACTTGTTTATAATACAATATTATACATATAATATTTCAATGCAGGAAAAATCCCACAAATTTACAATAAATTATTAAATTTCACATGTATCATTTTTAAGGAAATATAATATATTTTTTGAAATGATGCAAAATTTTAAAATGTTAAAGGGTTCAAGAAAGTAGATTTCCAGGAGGGCACTGAGTAATATTTTTTGAAAAGGGGGTGACAGTCCAAATAAGTTTGGGAACCTCTGATTTATACCTTGGAAATTGGCAAACTCTAAAAACCAAGCAAACAAATGAAAAAAAGAAGGCCTGATTTATTCTTTTGCTGATAGTCTAGACTTAAGAAAGAGATAGAAAATAATAATACTGCAGATTAAACTTATAGTATTTTTTGTATAATTTTTTTTCTGGGATCCAGTTGTTAAACATTTACCAGCATACCACTTCCTATAACCCAGGAAGAAACAAATCCTGGAGGAAGATAGGTGCCGAACATAGACATAAATTTAATTCCAGCTGCGTTTTCACGGTAGGACTGTGAGACAGGAAAGGTTGGGGCCCTTTCTCTTCACTGTAATTTACAAAGTATTAAGGGAGACTTTGGGTCTTTAGGGCTGGGAGGCAGGGCAAGACATACTAACTTCCTGGCCTTGGTACTCAGACAATGGGAGACATTCTGATTGGTGGTTCTCTGTTAGTATATCTGGGGTTCATCTTCAGCAAACCAAAGGGGAGTGGGTTCCTTCTTTGAGAGATAAAGGAGAAGGATGTAGGATTTGAACCCATGTGCTCTGACTCCAAATGTCAGAAGGACATGGCTTCATTAAGGTTCTTTCAATGCAAGGCCCTATGCCAGGTACCGAGGGAGAATAGTACATGATCCCTGCCCTCAGAGACTTTCCAGTCTAGCTGGAGAAATGACACCTAAAAAGGCAAATAATGCGTGATTCAAGTAAAAACAATTATAGAGTTATTACAAGGTATTGCATGGGTAACTGCCAAGTGAGTGGTACAGAGCTGTTCAAACCATTCAGCCTGGGGAGGAGGGCACACCCCTCTTATCATCCCCTGGATGACCTCCAGATTCACAGGACTCAGCAACAACTGAGGGCAGAGGATCAGAGACAGGGTTTCTCTGGCTGAGCTGCCTTGGAGCAGGGGATTTTCAGGATGTCCTAAGCCCCACTGTCTCTTCACACACCCTTATCCTAATGGAAGTCATCAGCTTATTAGCAATTTGGAAGTACCTTCATCTGAGCAGGTTTTTCCTGTTCTTTGGGAATTAGATCATCTACTCACTCAAGTATTCCCATCACTTGTTCTTCCCCACAAAAAGCCAATGGGGAGCATCCCTGCATCCCCCAGGAACATGCCCCTTCATCTTTGAAGGACAGGGCCAACTCTTGGAAAATTGTTTGTTTTTAAGAGTCTCTGACATCTCTGTTCTTCTCCCTTTCCCTCTTCACTGTGCTCCTAGAACCCTCACCCCCATTGTCATCTTCACATTCCCTCCCCTATTCCTCAGCCAAATCCTAATCTCAGAAAAGGATTTAAAACTCACTCTCACTGAGGTACAACTCACTAATGACTGTTGGAGGATTACTCTTTCCGTAGGATTATAAAGTTAGAATTGAAAAAGACCTCAGAGGTCATTTATTCCAGCCCTGTCTTTTTACTTATAAACTGGGGCCTAGAGAGTAGATCCAGTGACTTAACCCAAGTCATACAGGTAGCAAATAGGAGAATTAAGATTCCAACCCAGGGGCTCTGATTCCAAGTCTAGCGTTTTCTCATCTCATGCTGCCTGGGGATGGAATGGGGGTGCTTGTACTTTTATCAGGGAACAAAGCCTTACGCTGAAAGGATAAAGTCCTACGGATTGATTCAGAGTCTTGGGGGTGTAGTATTTTCTAAGTCTCACTAGGGCTTCCCAGTGCCTCAGAAATCACTTAAATATATTCACCTAAATCTGGGCCTAACCCAGGAGTGGGAGGTGAAGAGTGGGGAGCAGGGAGGGGGGAAGGGGAGAGAGGGGATCCAGTTCTAGCTATTAGCAAAGTAGGAGATGTCTTCGGGTTCTCCAAATTCAATTTGGTCCATAAATTCCCTGCAGCCAGTAGTCCAGAATGACCTAAAGTCCTCCCTGCCCCACCCCCACGCTTTTCATTCCAGCATCTTCAGGCTATTTGGGGGGAAATGGGAATTTCAAACCTTCCTCTAACCCATCTGATGTGAACATGGAGCCTGTTCTTCTTCCTCCCCCTCTCCACTCCTCATTCTTGTTCTTGCCTTGCAGGGGGACGGGAACATCAGATACTACGAGATTGGGTCAGAGAAGCCATATCTGAGTTACCTCATGGAGTTTCGCTCCCCAGCCCCACAGAAAGGTCTGGGTAAGGGCTTCCAGAGTGGATCCCAGCCCCTTCTCAAGGTCACACAAACCAAAGAGCCGAAGAGAGAACCAGTCCAGGGGCACCTCACTAGGCAACACTCTCATTGCTCTGTACATTCAGAAAGATGGGGACTGGACCTGTGATTTCACTGGGATAGGGGACTTTCGGGGGAGGAAACCACTTCTACCAATGCAGGCTGGCACCTTCTCCTCCACAACTTACCATTTTAGAGCTGCCGAGAATACTTGAGAGGTTTGAGGTTTTTGTCCAGGGCCACATAACTAGCATTTATCAGAGATAGGACTTAAACCTAGTCCTTTCTAGCCCAGGGGCTGGCTCTCTCTATAGGAGAAGGTGCCAGGGAGAGAGGGAAGTTGGGAAATCCTTCCAAAGTTTTTATTTAAGCAAACTAATCAAAACAAAACTCTCCATGTAGCATTTTGGATTATAGGATTTAGAACTGGAAAGGATTCTTTAGTTTTACTCCCTAATTTTACAAGGGAGGAAACAGAAGTCCAGAGGTGAATTAACCTGTCCAAAGTCATACAAGTCACAAGTCACAGAGATGAGATTCAAACCCAGGGCCTCAGATGCTAACTCTAGTGTTCTTCTCACTGTGGCTCATTGGGGGAATGGCATTGCCACATTAAGCTAGCTCACCTGAGGCTCGATCTCACTCTGGCCTGGGCTGGTTTATTGTTTCACTTAAGTTCCCACTACTGAGCCTTTTGTATCAAGAACATATTTATAGGACCAACAGACTCTTCCTTGGGAGTTGGTTTGCCTTCCACTGGTTAGTGTTAGAATCCCTTGAATTTTGCTAGGGAATTAAAAAAAAAAAAACTTTTGTTGGGTAGCCTAAACACATGAACAGTATCCAGGGCCCTCTCTCTGTGTATTCTACCTCCTCTGCTTCTCTTTTCTCTGTCTCCCTCCTCTCTTTTACAAGTATTCCTTTTCTCTTTCTCACTCCCCATAGTCTTATATACACAAACACACACACACACACACACACACACACAACAACAACAAACAGCAACAGCAGCTAGCTAGCATTTATGTAGAGCCTAATATGCACGAGAAGACACTGCGTTAAACAAATATGTCATTTGATCCTCAAAACACTCCTGGGAGGTAGATACTATTATGATTCCCATTTTACAGTTGAGAAGACTGAGGCCAATAGAGGGTAAGTGATTTGCCCAAGGTCACAAAGCTAGTATCTGAGGCTGGATTTGAACTCAGGTCCTCCTAACTCCAGGTCCAGTGCTATCTATGCTGAGCCATCAGAGAACAATGGGAAAGATTTGTGGGCTTGTTTTAAGATTAAAAGGACTTTTTCACTTCTTTTTTCTGTCCACAGAGCCCAGGGGATACCCTCCAAGTCTGCAGATCTTTGGAGAAGTTCAGTCATTCATTCATTCATTCATTTTCATTTACTCATTCATTCATTCATTCATATATCCAAACATCCATCCTTCCATTCATAAAACATTAATTAAGTGCTTTCTATGTGCAGGGCACAGGAGAAAATACAGGTTTAAGTAAGACATTGTCCTGACTCTTAAGAAGCTTACAATCTAATAAAGAGTTTACTTTGAGAAGGTGAGAGCCACTGTAGCTTTGCCACTAACTGGCTGTGTGACTGGAGCTAAGTTCTTTAGCCTCTCTGCACCTCAGTTTCCTCATCTGTTAAACTAGGGGTTTGAACTAAATAATCTCTAAAGGTCCTCACAGCATTAAAATTCTATGACTCCAATCAGACCAGCTTGGAGAGGTGGATATTGGAAGAATTTTTGGTGGCTTCTGACTTAGAAATGGGTCTTCATCATGTGATAGCCTAGCCTGATAAGCATCTAAATCCTCCTTCCTGCACTCCTGCTGACCCAGGGTCAGCCTCTCAAGAACTTAAAACATCTCCCCTTCACTTCTACCTCTCCCTTTCCCCAGACTCAGGAGGTGGGGAGGGAGATGTGGCCGCCCAGGATCCCATTGGACATGAATGCTTATGCTCCCCTTCCCAGGAGTGATGCCTAAGCATGGCCTGGATGTGTCTGCTTGTGAAGTGTTCCGGTTCTACAAGCTAGTAACCCTGAAGGGCTTGATTGAGCCCATCTCCATGATCGTGCCTAGGAGGGTGAGTATAGCTTTCATGGGGAACACAGGCCACCTAGACACTTCTAATACCTCAGGCACAGAGGTATTATCATCTGCCGGTCAACAAGTCACAACTTGAGGACCTACTATGTTAAATAAATGCTAAATATGTCAAATAGCCCTTTGTTAAATACTATGCTGACATTGAAGAAGGGAAATACACAGTCTCTCAGTTGAAAGGGCTTATAATCAAGGGGGTGGGTGAGGAGGGGCCTGACAGGTACACATGAACTCTCCCAGACTTAGGGAATGGCTTTCCCAAGATCCGGCAGCTCTGCATTATGGGAATTTATTGGTGAAACAAGAAGTCTTTATTGAGTACCTTCCTGCTATGTGCTCATATCTGCTGTCTCTGTGGGGGCTACTGAAGAAGTGTAAGCTATGCTCCCTGCCCTCAAGAAACTTCCAATCTAGCTAGGGAGGCAGAACTAAAAAAACCAAATCAAACCAAACTAAACCAAACAAAAAACCCTTCAGTGTCTCCCCACTGTCTGTAAGAGAAAATACCAATTCTTTAGCCTGATTTTTAAGGCATTCCACATGATGGTTCTGACCCAAGAATTAAGCAGCCTTATTTTACTTTTTACATTTTATTGTTCCCCTTGCCTATGCTCTAGCCAAACAGTGTTATGAATTATTTGCTGCCCTCAACACTGTCTTCTGCTCCTGTGTATTTGCATCAGTAGCTCCGCCTACCTAAAAAAAAATTCCTGCATATACTGTCTCCTTATTCCTGCCTTTTAGAATCTTGTCTTCTTAAGTTCAAGTGTCCACTCCTCCATGAAGCCTTCCCTTATCCCTTCAGTTATCAGTGCTTTCTCTCTCAATTTTTCTTGCCCTATGTATGCATAGAGGGTTGTATTCTGCCCCCCCCCCTTCCCCAAATAGAATGTAAGCTCCTTGAGGGCAGAGACTGTTGGCTGCATCTTTGTGTCACTGGTACCTAGCAGGCAATTAAGGAATATTTCTCAGATTGAATTGGGAGCAGAATCTAATGGAGTGCAAAACTGAAAGGCATGAGAAAAAAAGAAAGAAAGAAAGAAAGAAAGAAAGAAAGAAAGAAAGAAAGAAAGAAAGAAAGAAAGAAAGAAAGAAAGAAAGAGAAAGAGAGAGAGAGAGAAAGGAAGGAAGGAAGGAAGGAAGGAAGGAAGGAAGGAAAAGAAGGAAGGAAGGAAGGAAGGAAGGAAGGAAGGAAGGAAGGAAGGAAGGAAGGAAGGAAGGAAGGAAAAGAAAGAAATTTACATGCCAATTTTGTTGTATATTTGAAAGAAATAGCAAGTTGTACATAACAGATTTGTAGTTTCAGGTGCAATCATCTTTTTATTGTATTATGTTATGGAAATGCTTGTTTTATTCCATAAATTTAAAATAAAATTTAATAATGATTCAAAAAAAAGCATAGGGCATAGAAGAAACTGGAGAAAAGAAGATATAACTTTGGCCAAGGATTCATTCATTCAACAAACATTTATTAAACACCAGCTATGTGACAGGCACTGTGCTAGGCACTGGGGATAGAAATATAAAAGTGAGATAGTTCCTGCCCCCAGGGAATTCTACTGGAATTCAGATGGGTAGGGTTGGAGACTATGTACCAGGAATAAATACAGAGGCAAGAATCGCTATGATGTCTTTCAGAGATGGTGAGAAAACTTCTCATTCTTTCAGATGAAACGGGCTACATTTAAGAGTTGTGTTTCTCTACTCCACTATTCTTTAGCCCAGAGAACACTCAGGGGTGGCTCAGGACTTGATCTCTAAGATGGGGGCAGTTGGCCAAGGGAGAGCTTTGGCTGCCACATGGGGTGAGGGCTTGCCTCCAACATCAGGCAAACCCTTTTTGATCATTACAAGCTTGTAGGACATTAGAGCTGATGGGACCCTTCAAGACCATCACCTTCACAAACACTGTTGAGCTCTAGTTGTCTTCAAGGCCCTGTGGTAGGCACAGTGGGGTTACAAAGGTGGAAGAGCCACAGTCTCTACTATCAACGAAATAATAGTCTACTTGAAGAGGCACAATATATACCCACAGAACTAGAAATAATAACACAGGATGGTATATGACGGTACATGTTATCTCCTCAGACAAACTGTAAGTACCTTGAAGGCAGTAACTATTTCTTTTTTTGGTCTTTGTATTCCCTGCACCTAGCACAGGAATGGGAAGAGAGTAAGTGCTTAATTAATGCTTATTGATTGATTGGAAGAAATGAGAAGTACAGACACTATATGCTTCAGGTACAAAGAGGAGAGAGAGATCACTATGGCCTGGGGTGATCTGAGGTGGCTCCATAGAAGAGATAGGATGTGAACTGAGTCCTCTTTGAAGAATGATGGACAGTGAGGACTCCAGATTGGCTGGAAGGCAGCATTCCCCTAAACAACCTTCTGCACCCCACCTGCCCCATCCCATTTGCTGGCCTTTCTGTTTTCTCTTATCTGTAGTCAGAATCTTACCAGGAAGACATTTACCCCATGACCCCAGGAACGGAGCCAGCTCTGACCCCTGATGAATGGCTTGGAGGCATCAATCGAGGTAAGACGCTAAAAGGATGGGTTTTTAGATGGCCTCTGCTCTGGCCAGCTCTCTGCTGGGGATTACAGCTCCTCCCTGAACCCCAGAAATGGGGACACCAGAACTTTCATTTCTCAGCCCTCTTTTCTAAGATCAAGGCAACTAATCATAGCCGAGAGGTCTCCCATCTCCAAGCAAACTCATGTTAGTCAAGTCTAGAACCAATTCTACCCATGTTTGAGTAGGCTGGCACCCATATGGTATAATTCTGGGGGGCCCATGCATCCTCCTATCCTTCCTAACCACTCTGTTGCTAACCATAACTTTGCTCAATGTACTTCCAACAGGCTATAAAGGGCTATAATTTAATGAAAATTAAAATTTTGTTTTGAGAAGTTCACAACTTCTTCCTTTTTCCCTTGGAAAAATTGGAAATTATAGAATAAAACAATAAAATGTGAGTGTTAAGAGGGATTTTAGAAGATCATCTAGTCCAGGGGTTCTTAACCTTTTAGTGTATCATGGACCTCTTCAGCAATCTAGTGAAGCCCTATCTCTGAATAATATTTTTAAATAATTGAAGAACATGCTAATTTTCAGTTAGAAGTTAATGAAAAGAAAATGAATTTTTTTTCCCTATTCAAGTTCTCAGGCCACCTGGAATCTCTCTATGGCATCTTTGGACCCCCAATTAAGAGCCCCTGATCTAGTCTACCCCACACCCCTCATTTTACAGGGGAGGAGACTAAGGCCCAAAGAGCAGACTATATACCACATATCTTTGTATCCCTAGCACCTCACATGTGCATTGCATATGATAGATGCTTAATAAATATTTGTTGAATTAAATTTCATCAAATATATGGTATTTTCCACATTGCTTAAGTCAAGATGTGGTTACAGTATACTTTTGAGTCCTGGTTGTGTTGACAACCAATAAGCAGGAGAAAAGGTGGCATGGTAGGAGGGTAGGCAGGACAGGTAGTCAGGTAACAATAAGTCTTCTAATTCCTGTTCCAGTGCTCTTATAACTGCTTTACATGTGAGCCATAACTAGCAAGTTTTGCAACCAGGGCAAGTGACATGAGTGTAGGGCCAGAGTTGGCTAGGAAGGAGTTTACCCAGAATATAGCTGCCGAGGGGAGGAAATTATAGGGTACCATGAGGCCTGTGCTGAAGGACTGCAGGTTCCATCAGTGCCTTCTAAATTGTGGCACCCTGAGTCAAAGCTCCAGCTACCCCATCTTAGCTACGACTGCAGTCACACTGAACTTGTCAAATCTAAGGCATAGTTTTATGCATGTTACTCCCCTGCTCAAGAAACTTCAGTGGCTCTCTACTTTACGGGAGTAGAGATTTAGAGCTAAAAGGGAACTTGGTCATCCAGTCTAACAATACTCATTGTACAGATGAGAAAACTGAGGCACATAATAACTTGTCCAAGGTCACACAACTAATAAGTGTCTACAGCAGGATTTGAATTAAGTTCTTCCTGACTCTAAGTCCAATCTATCCTCCATTCTACATTGTCTCTAGGACAAAATACAGACTCATTAACCCAGCATTTTAAGCCCTCAACAATCTGATTCCAACCTAATTTTCCACTTTTTTTTCCTTATTATTTCCTTTCCTACACTCTACATACTAGCCAAATTTTATATCTCATGCCCCACATCTCTCTCCATTTGCTAAGGCCATCCACCATGCATGAAATGCCCTCCCCATTGCTTCTGGGCTTCTCAAAGACCTCATCTTCCTTCAAGACTCAGGTCAGGTGTCATCTTTTCCATGAAGCCTTCTCTGATACTTCAAAGGTACCTGTGCTTTCCCCTTCTTCTTCTTGTCTTATATTGACTCCCACCCCACCCCCAGAAGAACATAAGCTCCTCAAGGGCAATCTCTATTTCAAAAGTACAAAAATAATGTATGAGATATTACTTAGATGAGAGCCCATGTTACTTGACTATGTGTCATGCCTACTCTCCTTCTATCATGCCACCTTCCCTCCAGCTCATTGGTTATCAACAAAACCAGGACTCCAAAGTATACTGCAACCACTTCTTGACTTAAGCAATGTGGAAAATACCATGTATTTTTGATGAAATTTAATTCAACAAATACTTATTAAGCACCTAGCATGTGCTAGGTGGTAGGGATACAAAGATATGTGGTGTATGGACCCTACTTTCAAAGACCTCGTAGCCTAATAGACATATGTTACACAAATAACAATTGAATGAGGCAGAATGAGATAAATATGAAAGAGAAGGCCAGGTAAAGTGCTATGAGAAATTGGAGGAATGAGAGATCACTGGGGTTGAAGGGAGAAGGGAGTGGTCAGAGAAGATTTCATGGAAGGTATAGTTTGTTGTCGTTGTTTAGTCATTTCAGTCGTGTCTGACTTTTGGTGACACCATTTGGGGTTTTCTTGGCAAAGATACTGGAGGGGTTTGCCATTCCCTACTCCAGCTCATTTTACAGATGAGGAAACTGAGGCAAACAGGGGTAAATGGCTTGTTCAGGGTCACATTGCTAGTAAGTGTCCGAGGCCAGATTTGAACTCAGGAAGATGAGTATTTCTGACTCCAGGCCCAGCACTCTATCTACTGAGTCACCTGGCTGCCCTGGTGGAAGATGTAAGACTTGAGTCTTAAATAGAGCAATTTCCCCAGATTGGGATGAGAGACAAAAGATCTTTTTCAGGTGTGAGGTACAGTGTGAGCAAAGACAGGGAGATGAGAGAGGGCAGATTGAGAGTGATAGATGGAGAGTGATTGAGTGCAGTTGGAAGGTAAAGCATGTGAGGGGAGGGGAGTGGTATGTGAGAAGGTTGGAAGAGTAGATTGGAGCCAGATTGTGGAGGGCTTTGGATGCCAAGTCATGAGTGTGTCCTTTGTTCAGGAGACGAAGGAGGTTTTTGAGTGGAACAGTAGATTAGGAAGGTTTCTTAAGCTGTGGTGTGAAGGGTGGCACAGAGGAAACAGGCTGGAGATTGGAAGACCAGATAGTAGACTCTTAGAATCAGCTAGATGAAAAAAAGGTGAGGGCCTGACTTACAGCAGTTGTTTGGGAGCATAGAAGAAATGCAACAGATGTTGTAGAAGTAGATTCTACAGAACCTAACAACTGATTAGATATGGGGAGGGGGGAGGGGCGAGAAAGAGTTAAAGAGGTATCTAGGTGGTACAGTGGAGAGAATGTTGGACCTAGAGTCAGGAAGACCTGAGTTCAAATCTAACCTCAGACACTAGCTGTGTGACCCTGGCCAAGTCACTTAACTGCTATTTGCCTCAGTTTCCTCATCTGTAAAATGGGGATTATATTTAGCACTTCTCTTCTAGGGTTGTTATGAGGATCAAATGAGATAATATTTATCAAGCGCTTTTCAAGCCTTAAAGAGATACATGAATGGTAGCTAGTTTGGGTTATAGGCCAAAGTGATTGGGAGGATGGTGGTGCTATCAACTACAATAGCAAAAGAGAAATGAATGGAAGGAACAGGCTTTGGAGAGAGGATGAAGAGTTCAATTTTGCACATGTTGAATTTGAAGGGTTAGCAATATATCGCTGCAGAAATACCCAGCAGGCAGCTGGGAATATAGAAGTAGAGCTCTGGGAAAAGTTGGGGGAAGAAAGATGTAGGTGTCATCTGCACAGAAGGCATCATTAGAGCCCTGTGAAAGCATGAGATTATCCAGGAAGAGAGTATGGAAAGAAGAGAAAGGGGCCAAAGGCAGAACCTTAGGCAACATGTATACAAAGTATTCCAATACAAAGCCAATGCAGTTTAAAATTTTAGTGGCTTAACACTACACTAAGTCTTCTGGAACACTCTGAAAAACAAAAATGTGGTTGGCCAGAATCTTAGAATCCTGCAACTAGAGGAGATCTCTGGAGTCATGTAGCTTGTCCTAGTTTTAGGTAGGAATACACTTAGCCAGCCAAAGGAGAAAAAGCTTCCTCCCTCAGTCAATTTATGTCAAATATGAGGACTTTGACTATCTGGCATCTCTTCCTTACAGCTCCCCTGCTATAAAGGCATGTGTGTAAATATCCCTGACATGTTGGTAGAGAAGAGCTACTTTGTAAGCCTTGAGAGCTCTGAGAAAGGAGGGGAGGGAGGTGGTGATAACAAGAGGCAACGTGCTGGTATAATGGAAGGAGTCCCAGACTTAGGGATGGAAGAGCTGGGATCACATCCTGCTTCTGACTCCACACCTTCAGGGGCCTCTTGGTTTGATTTAAGTGAGACCACGAAGGACAAATTCACAAGATGAAATCCTAAATTTTAGAGTTGGAGAGATCATATCAACCATCTAGGCCACCCCAGCCCTAATAAAGGATTGCTATTGCAACATACCCACAAACTGGTCATCAAGGCTCTGCTTGAAGATAGCCAATGAGGGCAAATCCACCACCTCCCAAACCAGTACATTCTTCTTTGGGATAACTTGAATTGTTAAGAAATTTCACCTTACATCAAGCCCAACTTTTTGTCTTGGCAACTACCACTCAATGCTTCTAGAGCTTCCTTCTGGGGCCATATCCCTCTTCCACATGTGAACTGTCCCTCAGGCATTGATCATGACCTAATGCAGGCTTCTCTTCTCCAAGGTGAACATCCCCAGTTCTTTCAGCTGAACCTCACATAGCATAGATGCAGGGATGGACTCCAAGGGCAGCTCTGGTTGTCTTCTTCTAGACATTCTCCATTTTATCAATGTACTTCCTATAAATACTGTGACCCAGAGCTAAACAAAATACTTTGGATGTGGTCTGATCAGCACAGCAGAAGATATCAGGACTATTAGCTCATTATTTCTGAAAGCTCTACCTTATTTAGCCTAGGCCAGGGGTGGAGAACCTGCAGCCTAGAGGCCACATATGGCCTTCTAGGTGCTTGGATGTGGCCTTTTGACTGAGCTCAAGTTTTACAGAACAAATCCTTTTATTAAGGGGATTTGCGCTGTGAAGTCAAAAGGCCATACTTGAGGACCTAGAGGGCCACATGTGGCCTTGAGGCCCCAGGTTCCCCACCCTTGGTGTAGGCCAAGATTACATTAGCTTTCTTGCCTTTCATATCAGACTATCGATGCATAATGAATTCACAGCCTACTAAGACCCTCAGATCTTTTTCAGGCAAATTTTTTTCTGGCTATGCATTTCCTTATGAAGTTAATATTTTGAACTCAAATGTAAAACTTCACATTTGTCCTTAGTAAATTTTATGCCAACTTGTCAAGATCTTTTTTAGATACTGATTCAGTCACTTTTCTTTTAAATTGAAATCTCTCACACAGACAATGTCTTAACTGTCATGCAGCTTTTAGGATTTAGTTTTTGTTTATGGAAGGAGGAAGGTGACATTTCTTCAGCAATAGCAATAATACTTTCTATTTTCTTGGCACTTTTAATTATGTTATGTACTTTCACATTTGTTTCACTCTGACAAAAATCCTGTGAAATAGGCACAGCGCAGTGAGTTACTCCAATCTTAATTCTCAAGAAACCAGTCTTAAGGCAGCTGATCTCACAATGGATAGAGAGCACTGGCCTAAAGTGAGGAAGGCTTGAGTTCTAATCTAGCTTCAGATACTTTCTAGCTGTATGACCCTGGGCAAGTCACTTCACCTCTGTTTCCCCAACTGTAAAATAGGGATTATAATAGCACCTACCTAACAGGGTTGTCATGAGGATCAAATGAAATAATATTTGTGAAAACTCTGAGCACAGTGACTGGCACATAGTAGACACTGTATAAATGCTTATACCTTTCCCTTTCTCCCTTCTCAAGATACAGAAACACAGTCTCATACCTCTTAAATTTAACCACAGGGTTTATCAATAACATAACAAACCACCAATGATAGATACATACAAAAAGAATCCAACAGCACATGTGCTAATCAGCTCCACTGGCCATGTTGTTTCTCAGCTGTCTGGTCTCTGAGAAGCAAAGTGTCACATGTTAATAATAGTTCAAGGAAACTGGCTGAGTTCAGAACTACAGACTAAGTCTAAGTGGTAACAGCAGTTAGGGGAAGTTCTGTCTTATTTTCAAGGGACCAACAGAAGCTCTTTTCAAATACACCCCTCTGAGAACATACTAATCATGAGTAAACTAAAGAAGGATCTACCCAGGTATCCAAAGGTTTGTTGGTAGAGAGCTGCTGCAAAGGGAGATTCCACTGAGACATGAATATGCTAAGCTCCTTTACTGAAATGGAAATGAAATTAAACCTCCTTAAACATCTTATTGTTACAAGTGAAAACAAGGTAGATTTGAATTAAGTTTTCACACAAAACACTTCAAACTTATTAAAAATAAGAATGCTAGGGGAAAAAAAGAGTTCCTAGAATTCCTTTGATGTCAAGGACTATCTAGCCTTATGGATTCATCAGTCACTGGGGTGTGTGTGTGTGTGTGTGTGTGTGTGTGTGTGTGTGTGTGTGTGTGTGTGTGTGTGTCCACTCCTGGAACGGGACAAGAAGCCCAGTTTGGTTATACTTCATCAAGCACATATGATTATTATTTATGGATGAAGAAACTGAGAACAGGGGAAATACAGTAACTAGTCCACACACAGCTCTACCTTGACAGAGCCAGAACCAGAACACTCATTTCCAAACTCATATTCCAGGGCTTATCCCACACTACCATACGAAAAACAAGTTAAAAGACTTGGGGCAAGGGACAGGGAGGAGGCATTGGCCAAGAAAACATAATGGAATTGTCGTGACCGCTCACTAATCCAGTTGGTCCTGTCTTGAGCCCAGCTGACAGCCTCTTACCTCCCCTAGATCCAGTGCTGATGTCTTTAAAAGAAGGCTATAAGAAATCTCCCAAAGTGGTGTTTAAGGCTCCAATCAAAGAAAAGAAGAGTGTTGTGGTCAACGGAATAGATTTATTAGAAAATGTCCCACCCAGGACAGAAAACGAGGTAAGGAACATAAGTTATTACATCTGTGGGCCTCAAAGAGGGAGACCTTTAAATTTCAATTATGTGTGCCAGGCCTTCAAACCGGCTTCCCTCCCAGTCATCTTTCTTTTTGTGACAAACTCCATAAGCAGCCTGCTGTTAGCTTCCACTGCTGCTCTGACCCTCATAAATACCATCTGGAGAAGGGGGTGGGGAGGGGTTTTTCCCCCATCGGAAACCTTAAATTTACTTTTGCTAAGAATTGTGTTTCCTGTCATGGATTCAGTTTCAAGCCATTATTGTTGCTTGCTGTTACTGGAGTTATAAATCACTGTCTTTACCTGCCATGATGTTTAGGTGGTGATGGCAACTGACAATTCATCGTTATGTTTTTTCTTGGGGGTGAGATGTGAGAGGGGCCAGCACAGGATGCTTCAAATATGTCCTTTGTGCCTGAGGCAACACGGCTTAGTAGATAGATAGACGCTGGGCTTGAATTCAGGAAGGCTTGTGTTGAATCTTGCTTCAGACATTTACTAGCTGAGTGACCCTGGGTAAGTCACTTAACCTCCTTCAGCCTCAGTTTCCTCATCTGGGTATAAAAGTAACATCTCCCATCACAGGGTTCTTATGACAATCAAATAAGAGATAATATGTAGGAAATGCTATATACAAGTGCGCCATTATTATTATGAAAGGATTTCATAAACTTTTCATTGTCATATGAACCTAAGCCCCACTCATTTAACCACAGACATAACTTTGTCGAATCCTCCTAAGGATTTCTCCATATAACCCTGTAGTTCTGTAAAGAAGCCTCAAAGATATTGTTTTGAAAACACTTCACTTGCCCAAGAGTCACTTAAGTGGTCACCTCACCTGAAGGGAACTTGGAAGGAAGTTTTTAAAATATTGGCTTCCCAGATCGAATGCTAGCTTATGTTTCTATAACATATTAAGGTTTATAAGGGGTTTCATTATGCTTGCAACTCTTCGAGGAAGATAGAGTGACTAGTATTGTTGTTACTCAGTCATGTCCAACTCTTCATGACCCTGTATGGGGTTTTCTTGGCAAAGACACTGGAGTGGTTTGCCATAAGGCAAACAGCAGTTAAGTGACTTGCCCAGGGTCACACACCTAATGCATGTTTGAGGCTGATTTGTACTCAGGTTTTGCCTGACTCCAGATCCAGTGCTCTATATACTGTACCACCTAGCTGCCTCCCTGAGTAGTATTATCATTCCTGATTTGTTCCAAGCCCAATGTTTTCCACCATGCTATATTATACTATCTCTGTAAAGTTCAAGTTCATATCCTCTGCCCATAGGGCAGTGTTTCAGTCTCCCCATCTCCTTTGCTCAGTGCCATTGGCTTATTTTATCCATAATTCTTGCACCCCTAGTTACCTGGTTTCTCCATCCATAACAAATTACAGAAGGTAGGGGAAGATTCTAGAGGCCAGAACACTGGGTGGGAGAGATAAAGCTATAAAAATAAAATACCAGAACTAGAAAAGTAGAGCAGTCTGGGGCCATTTAGTGAAGGGGAAAACAGCGACAGACACTTCAGTGGCCCCAAGGGCATCCTGGTATTACATAGCATTGATGTCTGTGATGGTGATTCTGAATCATACAGAAAAGGTTGAATCATATTTACTGTGTTGTGTCTTAAAAGGCAGAGGAATACATTATACATTTTGGAAAGATTTCCATCCCAAATGGCTAAAGTGAAAAGAATAGAGCTTTGGCTTTTAAAAGGATATGCGTCAGTCATCTGGAAAATTCACTTACATAGGGCAGTGCATTCCCTGATGATGCCAGATAAATGAGACACTGCTGTATTAAGCCAGAATAGGGCCAAGACTCATTCTTGCTCAGAAACACAGTGACCAGGCCTGCAATACCCTAATTTAATAAGATCTTTCAGCTTACAGGAGAAAATGGCCACCAGCACTTGGTGCAGTGGGAGGTGAAAAGCTGATTCACTGAGACTCCAGGGTGGTGAGAGGGGTGTGTATGTATACGCAGAACTCTGGGGGAAGGTGAGATCTGAAAGCCTCAGGGTTGGGGGTGGTGAAGCCTTAGGAACGAGAGCACTATCCCAGGCACTCACTTTTCTCTTTATTCTCTTTCCACCCCATCTGTTTGTCCCTCCCTCTCAGCTCCTCCGAATGTTCTTCCGACAGCAGGACGAGATTCGGCGATTGAAAGAGGAACTCTCCCAGAAAGACATCCGCATTCGGCAGCTGCAGCTGGAACTCAAAAACTTACGGAACAACCCCAAGAACAATTAGCTCCCCAAAGGCTCATTTTCTAAATAAACTCTCTGTTTATATTTGCTCTTTAATTTTCCTCCCATTCACACTCTCCCCTTCCCATCCTCCATCCCAACCCCACCCCCACCCCCGGAATAAGCCAGTGCTTGAACAGCCTGCCAAACGGCTGGGCTCACCGATAACTGGAATTATGTGCTTTGGCCCCTTTATCTCACACGAAGGAAAAAAAAAAGGGAGGCAGCAGATGACCCTGTTGGACTGACCTGTACTGCTGTAACTGAAAACTACTGTCCTGGAGAGGGCTGACTCTGGATTCGTACCCCTATGGTTTTCTTGGAGGAATTAGCGGGTGGCATCTCTTCTGATGGATCACAAGATTAGAGAACTCACCAAGAGGGGCTGCTTAAAGCTGGCCGGAAGACGACATAGAGAAGCTGGGGAAGCCATAAAATGAAACAGCCAGGTTGACTGCGGTTAACTTTTCCCATGCAGAGGGCGGCGGCGGGGAATACACAGCTCTCAATAGCTGAAGCTCAAAGCCACTTGCTTGTAGATGCCATGAAATAAGGGCTTAATTCGCTGATATTCATTGAAATACTCTCTTTTCTCCTCTTCTTCCACCTCCCTCCTCTCTTCTTTCAAAGCAGCCCCTGTAAACCTCAGTTCTTAACTTGGAAGAGCCAGGTTTCCTTTTATTTCTTTCCCACCAAAAACAACCTCTGTGTCTTTAAAACCAAACCAAACACCTACTGAAATAATAACCATCCCTTGTATTTGCATAGCGCTTTATACTTTTCAAAGCACTTAAACATAAATGATTTCATTTGACCTTCACAACACTCCTGTGTAGTAGAGAGGGCAGTATTATTCCCATTTTACAAATGGGAAAACCAAGGCATGAACTGAAGTGACTTACCGAAAGCCACCCAGATAGTGGCAAAGCATGAACTTGAAGTCAGGTCTCCTGTCTCCTCATGCAGGGTTCTTCTCATGACATCATGATACCATTTTCAGTGGGACTTATGTCCAAGTCATTCTGGGAAATTTTAATAGGAGAGAAATCCTTCTACACCCTCAACAATAATTGTGCCAATTGTATTATAAAGACCTGGACTGAGCCTTTTCAAGCAGTGAGACACTTCTCTCCTTCCCTGGGTTAACTCTGGTCTTCTCCCTAGACTCAGGTTGAGAAGTTGCCTTCTTCCTCTGGGAAGCATGAGACTAAGATGGCCTAGGGAAGGCAGAACAAGGATTCTTTTCTTTCTTGCCTCTTTCTGCCTTTCTGTGGCCCCCTCTCTCCTTCTGCCCCATTTCTCCCTTCTCTCTCTCTGTCTCTTCCTCCCTCCCCCTTTCTGTCCCCTTCTTTCTCCACCTTTCCCTCTTTCCTCTCTCTCTCTCCCTCCCTCCTCCTCCCCCTTCCCTGCCTCTCTCTCCTTTCTCTCTCACCCCTTTGTCCCTCCCTCCTCCCTCTCCTCCACTTCCCCTTCTTTGCCTCTCTCCTTCTCTCTCTCTCTCCCCCCCCTCTCTGCCTCTCCTTTCCTCCGTATCTCTGCCTCTCCTCCTCCTGCTTCTCCCTCCTCCCTCTCTCCCCACTCTCACCCAGATATACTACCCAAGTGCTATTCCACTCTGGTTCTTCTGCACACATCTCTTTTTCCCCATGGGCACAACGACAGATATCTGGGCCAAACACATCTGTTTATGTTTGTGAAGACTAGATGGCAAGGCCAGGCAAGCTATAAAGCCCAACAGCTAGGTTTATCGCTGTTAACTTTTCCAGTACTATGTGCCACAGCCAAGTAGCTAGACAAACCCACCCCACAGGAGCGGGGCCCATGTCAGCCACTGGCTGCTATGGGATTCTACCACATTCCCTTGCTTTCTCCCATTACTATATAGGGCCTTTTACATGACTGTCTAGCACTAGCTGGATGAAAGTAATTCTCTGTCCACTCACACCTTTTGCTTTCTTTCTCCCATCTCCTTACTTGAACTGTGTTGTCTCCTGTGATTATTTATGCCGCCACATGAGGATAGTATTGAAATAAAATGTTTTCAAGATACCAAAAATGGACTTGGTAGTCTCCTTTAGCCTCTGGTTGTTTTAATTGTTTCTGTAATGGCGGTATTTTGGCTAGTGGCCCTATAGCCATATCCACTGCCTTTCCCAGGGAACAATACACGTCTATTCATTCTGTACCCTAACTTCATTCATTCTTTCTTTAGCTGTTCATTCTTTCATTTATTCATTCTTGTATTCATTCATCCAAAAAAACAGTCATTCATTGTCACTATCTGGCCAGCCCTGAATTAGGCACTGTGCTAGCCAAAAGTAGAATAAGGCATAGTCCCTGCACTCAGTGAGCTTGCAGTCTCTCTAGTTAAAGAGGCAAGGCTAATATATGAATAGATAAACATAAGGCCATGTAAAATTAAGTGTCAAATTTGAACTGTGGTGGTCAGGAATAACTTGATGGAGGAAATAGGACTTGCACTGGCCCCTGAAGAATGGATTTGAATTGATACAGAAGAGGAGGGTAAGCATCCAGGGAAGAAGCAGAGTTTATAAGGACTGAGGGAAGGGGCCCTAGAGATCTTGTCCAACCTCATTTCTCAGACGTGGACCAGAGAGCTGAATCAGCTTGTACAGGTTCACACACCAAAGTTATCCCATACGACTCTTGATAAGCATGCTCTTCAGAGTCCAAGAAAGATATTCTTAGAGAAATCAATGCTTTGGGATCAGTTATGGAATTCCCTAAGCCTAGAAGACACCTAGAGAGATGATCATACCAACAATCCCTCACCCCCTCACCACAACAAGGATTAGAGTCAACAATCATATTTTAAGTGCCTAGGACTGTGCTAAGTGCTAGGGATACAAAGAAAGGCAAAAAAGAAAATAGTCCCTGCCCTCAAGGAGCTCATGGTCAAATGGGGGGGGGGGAAGGACTATGAGGACTTCAAAGAATCTCCAGGTCTTAGAGTTGGACTGACACTTAAACACCTCATAACCCTTAATTGTACAAGTGAGTTAACAAGCCTAGAAGGGTTAATAACCCTAGAAAGGTTGATTCTCTCAAGATAATGAGTGGAAGAGCCAAGTATGAACTCGGGTCCTCTGACCCCAGGTCCGGTGTTCTTCCCACCATGTCACTGGAGTGTTGAAACACCATTAGATGGCCCCCTGGGTTCAATCCTGTCCAGCTCTCTGTGATGTCCCAAGTCCTTGTTCATAATCACATGCCTACTATACAGAATCCTTGGGGCCATAGCTTCAAAGCCCATGAGGAAAATGGTTTATGGCTAAGGCTCCCAGGCCTGAGAGAAAACAAAAGCTCAAATTATTATGCCAAGTACTGGGCAGGATTAACCAGAGAATTAGAGCCTGGGAAGTTGGGGGGCATGGGCACCAGTAGAAGCCAGGGGACTAGCTCTGAATTAATCTAGATTGGGAACAGGCTGACCATAAGGCTGTCCTTAGATATAAGTATTAAAAAGTGAAAGGAGGTTAAAAGAGAATTTTTAAGACTCTCTTTTGGTAATAGGGGTATCTTGGGAGTGTAGTGGGATAGAGTGCTGGACCTGGACTCAGGAAGGCCCGAGTTCAAATCCTACCTCAGGTACTTACTAGCACTGTGACCCTGAATAAATCACTTAACCTCTCTCCACCTCAGCTCCTCTTCTGTAAAGTGCAGATGATAATTACTAACCTCAGAGGCTTGTTATGAAGATCAAATGAGATCACAAATGTAAAGTGCTTTGCAATCCTTGAAACATTATATTAATACTACTGATTATAAGAAAGTGCCACATAATCTGGTTTTGAGCACCTTCTCTAGAGATTTTTAAGAGTTGATCACCAAGATGGCTTATGTGTCAGCCTGCCTGAGGCACAAGAGATCGGATGAGATGAGCAAGATGACCTCCTTCTGCTCCTCTCAACGTCCTTAATTTCTTTGCTTATAGCCAGGCAAAAAAAATACTCTATCAACCAAGACAATGGAGGTACAAAGAGGAAAGTAATTTAGTCCCAGCCCTCAAGGAGTTACATTCTATTAGGGAAAGCAACATATGCCTATAGAAATATATACAAAATAGATACAAGATGAATTGGAGGAGAGAAGGTATTAGCTACTAGGGGGAGTCAGGAAAGGCTGCGTCTTGAAGGAAATAACAGATTCTAATAGGTACAGGTGTAGGGCAGCTAGGTGGCGCCAGAGTGCACAGAGCACTAGTCCTGGAGTCACATCTTCCTGAGTTCAAACGTGACCTCAGATATTTACTAGCTGTGTGACCCTTGGCAAATCACTTCACCCTGTTTGCCTCAGTTTCTTCATCTGTAAAATGATCTGGAGAAGGAAATGGCAGACCACTCTGGTGTCTTTGCCAAGAAAACTCTTCATGGGTTCATGAAGAGTCAGACACAATTGAACAACAACAACAAAAAAGTAGAGGTGAAGCAGGGTGGAGAGGGTGAGTACATTTCACTGGGAGTAGCCTAGGCTGGGTAATGGAATGCCATGTATGAAGAAGAGTGAGAATGCCAGATTTTCTGGACTGTAGCATGTATGATGGGGAATAACATGGAATAAAGCTCTTGAGAGTGTAGGTTGAGGTCAAATTGTGAAGGGAAGACAAATTGTGAAGACGTGACAAATAGAAGAGTTCATATATGCTACTGACATGGTCAGACCTGTGCTTTAAGAAAATCCTGTTGGCAGCTGTGTGGAGGTTAGACTGGAGTGAGATGAGATTCCTCTGCTTGATTGCTTCCATCTGAAATGCCCTCTGCACTCTTCCTTATCTATCAATTCCTAAAGACCAAGCTGGATACATATCTTCCTCCATGGAACCTTTTCTGACCATTCTAGCCCATATTTGTCTCTGCTCATCCTGACCATCCAGGTCACTTACTGCCCTGCCTATTCAGCACTTAGGACAGACAGTCTTATAATTACTGGTGCCTGTACCATCTCTCCCTAATTATGGCCAGAGATTGTGCCTCAGACTTCTTTATTACTCCCCCTGTGCAAAAGAACATAAATTTGGAGCTACAGATACCTCAGAGGTCGTCTAGTACAATCTCTTCATTTCACAGATAGGGAGCTGAAGCCGAGACAGGAAGTGACTTGCCCAAAGTCACACAGTAAGTAGTAGAGCTGAGATTTGAACTCAGGACTTCTAATTCCAAATCCAGTGCAGCATTCTTTCCGGCAGAGACCAGATGGCCATTTGTTTGTCAGAAAGATTTTGTCGTTCAAGTGGGACTAGGTAGGTTCTGAAATTCTGTGATTCTGGCATTCATGCCTCCCTTGGAGCCAGCAACTCCATACCAGGTGATGTATAGACATCTCAATGCTTCAATGTTTTCCCTGAGTGGCCTTCCCTTTTCTAAACTACCCAAGCACTTACTATAGCTTCATATCTGGACCTGATAAAATCCTTGTGGGCTCCAGCCTTATGTAAACTTTGCAATTTCCCTTACTTTGGGAAACTGAATTGTATTAATGGGGAAAAAAAGGTAACTACCAGCTCCCTTTGCAGCTGTGCTGCTGACCTGGCAGAGGCCCTGCCAGCTGCCTCCCCCAGCATCCCCAGCTCCCCTCAGGGCTGCTCAGGGCAGCATGGGAAGCAAAGGCAGCAATGACTGCAGGCCCAGAAAAGCTCCCAGGAAACAGACCTCATTTTGGCAAACTTGCCCAGCCCTGGAGAATTGCAGGCTGGCAACAGAAAGGAACTTTCTCATCCCAAAGTTCCTACTGCAATGAACCTGGGGGTTGGCAGAAGGCGGTTGTGCCTGTGTCCCTATGTGCTCTGTTTGGAAAAGGCTCACAATGAATCTCTTCCCTTTTCATGACCTCATGCCTGGAGATTTAAAGCTGATGTCCCTACAGGCTCACAAGCTCCTGAAGCCTGGGGGCTGCATTGTTTTGCTTCTTCAGTTCCCTAACATCTCTATTGAACACAGTAAGTGCCTAATAAATAGTTATTTAATTGAAATTAGCCTTACCTATAGATAGGGTAGGTAATAACCCATAGGATGGCCCTAAAGAAGCCCTGTCTCCAAATATTTCCCCACCACCACTCTCCCACACTTACCCAAAAGACAAACCAATAATCATTCATTCTTTTGGGTTTGGCATTATCCATTTCCTGTTCCTGTTTTAAAATATCAATTCTGCTAGGAGGAGGAAGGAAATAAGCATTTATTAAGTACCTACTGTGTGCTAGGCACCATAATAAATGGCAAAAGGGAACCTTTGGAGTTTATTGAGTAGGGGACTGATTATCTATTTGATCCTTACAACTACTCTGGGAGGTAGGTGCTATTATTATCCCTATTTTATGCTTAGGAACTGAGACAGATAACAGTTAAATGACTTGTCCAGGGTCACATAGCTAGTAAGTGTTGAAGCTAGATTTGAACTCATGTCTTCCTGACTCTAGGTCCAGTGCTCTAGCCATCATGCCACCAGCTGCCTCTAAGGAGGCTCAGTAACTTCCCCACACATCAAAGTTAAGGGAGTTATTATCACATCCATAAAATCCACAGAATCTCAGAGTTCAAAGGGATATCAAAAGCCATCTAGTCCAACCTGAGTAATGAACTCCTCTATAGCATTCCCAAGACATGGTCATGCATCTTCTGCTGGAAGACCTACGGTGATGAGAAACTCACTACCTTCTTAAGCAGCGTTTTTAATTGTGGATTGCTCTAATTGTTGGGAATTTTCTTCTTACCTCATGATAAAGTTTGCTGCTCTATCAGTTGTCCCCGTAAGTCTGTTTTCCCTCTGAAGAATGTCTCATCCTTCCCTTCCAATACTTAAAGGTGCCCTCCAGGTCTACGCACTATGAGCCTAAGCCGACTCACTGTAGTACAGTGAAGAGAACACCAAGATGAAAGTCAGGTATTCTAATCCAAGTTTGTCCCCTCACTAGGCAAGTCGCTTGACCTCATCAGCCCTCAGTTTTCCTCATCTGTATTATGGGATTTTAAGTTCTTCCTTTGCTTTTGGTGTGAAAGACCCAGCAGGGGAGAAAAGGCTGCAAAAGGAAGCCAAGAATTACTGAAGACCAACTTCACAGATTTCATAATTTGTATCCTTCAGTCAAGGATTTCAAGGCAAGGATTGGCTCTGGACAGGAAATATTTACTTGGAACTTGAATCTGACCAGCAGGTGGCAGATGCTACAACAGAATTTGGACAATCGTACCCAGCCCATTTTTGCTTGGGGCATCCCAGAAAGGTTCCCAATCCCTCCTAAAAACAATAATGATGATAACACCAATAACATGGTGATCTTGGCGAAGACCCTGCCGGTCTCTTAACCAAACAAGCACAAAAATGAACAAGGGTCAGAAACACTCCAGTGTGTGGGTTAGGAATC